TATCAGCTGCTCAGTAAAATCTAGCCTAATCTGTCTCTTAGTTTCCTGAAAAGTCGGGTGGCTAACCTTTATCACAACAACACCCAACTTTGGTTCTGATACTATATGGCGTCAGTTTTGTAATCAGTGTCGTTACATTGTCTAGCCTCTAATGCTTCGCTAAATAGAAATGAGGACCTTCATTTGACTTGGAAAATGGAGTGCTAGTCGGGGAATCCAAAACAGTGCTGGCTTCCAGCCTGAATTCCCCGGACTTGTGTGAAATGCTTTTCCTAGACCCTGAGGCGTGGACCTTAAAGGGAAGCCAGCAGAGAATCACGAGTCAGGGATGTCTTGTGCAAACGCTGACAGGTCCTGAAAGTCCATCTACTTGGGAGCTGTGAGTAGTGTGGTGAGCACTGAGTGATACTGCCACAGGCAGGAGCGAGGCACGCTATGTGACAAGGAGGATCAGCTATAGATCAGGAGGCTGCTCATTTATTTTTATATGCAAGATACACGCATCTGAACCAAAATGGACTGTTTCTTATGTATGAAGCATACGGAAAGGCAGAGGTCTGTTAGTACTACACGTGTCATTATGCACTAATGGGAACTGAGGTGGTGCAGCACCACGGGCCTAAATAGGTCTCGGCATTGCCGAGCCGTCCGATAGGCCTCTGCGGTTGTTGCTACATTCAGGAGCAGTGAGAGGTGAGAAAGCTTTCAATCACTGATAACATTTCTTAAACAATACAGTTTTTAATTTCATATTTTCACGATGAGTCTGTCTAGCTTGGGCTTTGTGGCCAAACGTTTTTTCTCATCACTCTTCTAATGTGATGTTTTTATCTTGTGTTCCAAATGTGTTATCTTATATGTCTGCAGAAAGCAAGTCATGGCCGCCACAGCACTCAGGTAGCCCCGTGCGTGCCTGGCCTCGCGGCCAGGGTCCTGATGCCAAGGCTGTCAGTGTCTGCTGTCAGTCACTCACTGGTCAAATCTTTTTACTCATCGCAGCCTTATGAGAAGTCAGCAATTGCTGGGGACAAGTCTCTCATAGAGAAAGAAACTCAAGTCCAGCTTCTTCACATTAGGGTCATATGACTCGAAGGAAAGGCTGTTTCAGTGAGAGATAAGCAGTTGTTTATCAATAAGAACACAGAGAAGGTAAAATCCCTCCGATTCTAAAGGTAAATCAGGAAGTAGTGTGACGTCTGGGGATAGAGGCAGCCTCCCCAAGCAGGAAATATGCGTTATTTGGAGCCAGATAAAACCTGGGCTCTTCTGCATGAGCCTTCACCCCTGTAGACAAGTGGCTTCACTGGTGTGCGACCAATTTTCTCACCTATGAATGGATGTGTTATTAACTTGACTGTGATAATCATTTCATAAAACACACATTTATCAAACGACCACATTATGAGTTTTGCTAAGTACATGAAATTTTTATTTGTCTGCTCTTATCTCACTAAAACAGGAAAATGAGTCCATGACGAGAAGATTTCGGGATCATTCATGTGTGTGCATGTACACAGTCATGCAGGCGCTCCTACAGGCTGTGACGATATTAGAACAGGGTATGGTCTTCATAATTCACACCCCAGGTATCCGTTGGTCTCCTCTATCTTTGGTGGCCTGTGCTTGTACCTCCCTGTGTACATCACAGCAGTGTGGCCCTTCCCCGCACCGTCGGTGAAGCCCACACTTCTGCCTGGAGGTCACCAGTAGGGCTCACAGGCCTTGAGGAAGGAACCAGTAAGCTCCAGGCTCTCCTGTCCTCCTGAGGCCACTGCTCTGTGCCTCTGGGGAAACACCCTCCCTAAGGCCTGGACCAGGCGCTCCTGGTGGACTCAGCTCTGCCTCAAGCGCTGTTGGCAGGCAAGGGAGGAGCTGTGCAAAGCATGGGGGGAAGGAAAGATGCCTTTCTTTCTCCACCGCCATGGGGCTCTGAAAAGCATTTGTCAGCTTCCTCTGCTTCCCCCTCAAAATACAGCTGCCCTTGGAATGATGCAGGAGATCAGCCGTGCTACTGGCCTGACCCCGTCCGCGACTCTTTGCTCTGCCTCCAGAAGCGTGTCCAGTGCAGTCCGGGTTATCTCGGCTTCCCAATGAGCTTGTGAGGTTGGTGTATTCGGTGCCTATTTGTAGATGAAAAGACTGAAACTAGAGACGTGCAGCAATGCCATTCTCTGTCCCTTTCTGCTGCCTTTGAACAGATACCCAGAGTCTCCCTGGCCTCTGTTCTCCACTGCAGGGAGCTCAACATGTCCTGCACAATGGTAGCAAGTATTATTCCCATCCCATGCCAAGTCAGGGTGAGCCCATGCCAAGCCCAGAGTTCCTGCCCATCTAAGAATAATGATGTGAAAAGGTGCGCAGATGAGGAATTGAAGTGTGAACTTGTGAGGCTAGTTGTGAGAGCGAAGGCAAGGAGTTCGGGGATAAAAAGGTTTTGAAAAACGACACATAATGACATATTGGATGGCTCTGGGAGATTTTATGAAAGGGACATCATCTCTTTTTTACTCTCTTCAAATTGTTTTCTTAGTTCACCCTTCCACTTCTGCCACCAACTCTCTTCTCTGATCTCTTCTTAAAACAAAAAGTTAAGCCTCAAGATGAAGAAAGAGGCTCTCTCTCCCCTCTCCCCCTCCACTCCCTGTTCCTTAACTCATGTTCCTGTATAGGTGAAAAATAATTGAAAAACTACTTTTTAGAAAATTGGGTTTTGATCACAGTCCACAAGAAATCTCTGGAGATTACTTTCAAACTAAAACCAATTTCACACCCAGTAGAAAACTTTAGCTCCATGGACGGAAAAGTTAAATAGGAGCATTCAAAAACTGCCTTTCCAGAAAGAAGACAATTGTAAAACACTGGCCCAATTACACCAAGAAGCTTTCTCTTTCCTAAACCAAGAAAGAAAAAGTGAATAACTCCATAGATAATACTGTGTCACTTATCCAGAGCAAGTGAAAGATACTGTTGTATTACAGAGATGCTTTGATGCTTTGGTCCACAAACTTAATTCTTTTCACAATTATGGTCTCAAATCACATTAGATGGGGCCAGCAAGATAGCTCAGCGGGCTAAAGCACCTGCTTAGGCAAGCACAGAGACCGCAGTTTGATCCCTGGCACCACACGTTGCACGGGCTTCACTGCCACATCCAGCTGACCCGGCTAGAGTCTGGTGTGGTGACACACACCTGTAACCCTAGCGTTGGGGAGGCCGAAAGCAGGAGGATCACTATGAGTCCGAACTGAGGAGTAAGACCCTGCAACAACTAAGTACATTAAAAAACCAAAAACAAAAACATGGTAGAAAATAAATGCTTCAAATTCAGTGGTTGGGTTCAATCTTGACCTTACAGTGAAATTTCATTTGGTTTATGTCTAAGTGCATTTGATTTGTGACCAGCCTGTGGAGAGAATTGAGTTCGTGAACTAAGTTACCCTGGTAGTTGTTTTACTTGTCAAGCATACCTTTTCATCAGTTAGATTTTAACAAAAGATTTAGTTATTTATTTTGGTACAGGAAATCGAGCTCACAGCCTCACACCTGCCAGGCATGGCCTGGGCAACTGAGCTTTATCCCAGCCAAAAGATTAAATCCATTGTCACTCCTCTTTGCAAGTATTTTCCAAACAACATAAAACGGACAAAGGCCAGTGCAAGGAAAAAAACGTAAATGCTGCATTTTAATCTCAGCTGTAGCTCAGAGGTGTCCTTACCAATCCATTTTCTAAATATTTTAGATCAAACTGTTCATTCATCTCTAGTGCTTGGAGTTTTCTGAAATTCCCAAATTACGTGTCTATCTGCTGCTGACATCAGAAAGACAAGGAGAGAAATGGATGCACCGCTGATGAAAGGGTGACGCTGCGCCCACACTGAAGGCGCTGCTGCTCACTGCCACCCACGTGCCGTCCCCTCCTCTGGCTGCATCTCCCTGACCTACAATGCTCAGCAGGTCGCACTGACACCCAAACTTCTCAAATGCCCAGGCCCAATGCTATTAGAAACCCTGCATCAGCTGCATTTGTAGAAGCCTTGGATAAATTTAACTGTTTATGTTGAATTAATATAATGAAGGTAACAAATTAATATTTTGTTCATGATGGTTTTACATTCAAGTTGGTCAATTCAATCAACTAAATAGAGGTCTGATTGCTTAGTGGTCATTCAGGTATTAAAAGGGAAATTATGTATGATTTATATAAGAGGCTTGCAGTCCACCTCAGATGTTTCCACAGTTAGTACTGTTCTTCTCATACTAGTGAGCACCTCTAATTTAGATGCCTGTAGCAAAAAACAACTAGTAGATGAGACTCCTACCCCTGTCCTCCTGGTACCTATTTGATTCTGCCTTGACTATGATGAAATAACTAACAGCATCCTGGGAATCAATTCACATGGGCCTTTCCTGCTGTGCTGTCAGTGCCTCCTTCTTTTGGCTTGAGTCGATCTGAATTGCAAAGGGAGAGGACAGGACTCTGGTGTTTGTGAGCTCTGTAACAGTTTAGAGCAGAGGTGATTAATAAAAGCCCCTGGGTATGAGTTGAAGAACTTGGTGAAATTAATCAAAACCTCTTTATATTCTTCTACCATCCGTGCTATTATGGAGTTCATATTGTTGAAAAGTAGCAAAGCAAATTATAATGAATTTACTCTGAATTTATTAACTGCACCTTTGTTCCTCCCTCTAGACGTGGAAGACCAGTTTTCCAGAATGAAAGAGACGCGTATGCACAGATGCAAATCATTTCTGTGTTAATTTCTTGTTCCCACATTAAAGAGAAAAACCTAAGGATCTAAGTTATGATTCAATTTTGATTTTGAATGCATACTGCTATCTAATGTACATAAAATAACCATCAAAGAATGAAACTGCATCCAACAGCTGTCTGCATTTAAATGACTTTAAAATAAGTGCTTATAAAAAGTCAATTTGGGGTGTTTTGCTGCTTAGGAATAAAACAAATCACAAACATGCGTGCTATTGGTTTTCTCCGGCAGGACTGGGAGTTCCCACACTTCATGGGTGATGTCGACGTAAACCTCCCCGGGATGCACACACCTCACATGCAGTTCAAGATTCCCTTCTTTCAGAAGATCTTCAAAGAAGAATATCACATTCACATAACAGGTGTGGCATTTCGCTCGGAGCAGAGCCGGAGGGTCAATCTCCGGGGCAGGGCTTGCTGTAGAAGAGCAAACTGTAGCATTCAGTGTCATGTATTTAATTTTGTCTCTCACTCACTGAACAGCACAAGGTGGTTCCAGGGGGGGTGGGAGCGTGGTGTCTCCAGGGGACGATCTAGGCCACTGGTGACTCCGGCTGTTGCACGGTGAGCATCTAGCGGACAGACGGAAATGGGACGAATGGGGGAAATGACCAAGGCTTGCCTGCTTCACCACCAACTTGCTGTGCAAAAGAAGGATGTCCTCTCCACTCATGTTGCATTGTTGATAACAGCAGATATTCTTTTTAGAATAAAGGAGAGCAGAGTCCTTCGATGGCAGGTCTCGCGTACCTGAATATGAGGTGTGATTTAAAAAGCACAGTGAGTATTTAAGTCTGTTTAAAATGTACTATTGTAGGGCTGGTGATGTAGCTCAGCGGCGCAGCACCTGGCTGGCAAGTGCGTGGCCCTGAGTGGGATTCCTGCTACCAAAAAAGAAAATAGTAACAAAATATATTATTATATAAAAAAAATTGCTAGTAAGCTGCGTTAAAATATCCCCCTCACTCTAGCGTATCTCCTCATTCGCACTGCTTTTGCAGGTAGTTCTAGAAGTTCTCTTTCTGTGTTGGATAGTGGCAGCAGCCCTCCCTAACTGAGTATCACGCCTTACAAAGAAACTCAGCAGGAGGACTTTGAGAACCGCTTCAGAAACCGGCAAGAATGATGGGCCAAGTGAGCTCAGCGATGAGGGAGTATCTCAAAGAAGATTAGCAGCAATGTGTCTTTTACTGTATTTTTGTTTGCTTAAACACACATCAAAACTTTTGGTCACCTTTTATACGATTAGCAAAGAGGGAAGAACCAGTCTTCCACATGGACGATCATTTCTGCCATCTGCTGTGCACCACTCTGCTCTGATCCTGTTCATGGGGCAACTCCTCTGCACAGTTTGGTGTAAATTTTCAACATCAAGCCACTTGCTTCTTTTTTGTTTACTGCTGCGAGCAAGAGGGCAGCACTCAGCGCGCCAGTCAGTTCACATGGCTGTGATGTGATGTACCGCCGTGTGGTAGGTAGACCACCGACATCCGATGCTGTAAAACCTACTTCGGTGACTGAATATGGTTTTGTCTCAAGTAATTTTTTGTGGGTCCCCAGATTGTTTCATTTTCAGATATTTTCCACTTTGGAAATCACTAAAATGTCATTTATAATGTTCTTTGGTGACATCTCATCTAAGAAAAGATTTCCTGGAGTTACATTTTGTACCCATTTTTCCCCAACATCTAGCAAGAAGCAGACAGCTGAATGAGCGTAGATGAAGGGCTGCATTAGCTCCTGAGCTGCTCAGATTCAGGGAGCGAACGTGTGTTTTAGAGACAGTGGCCTAGGATCGCACACCTGCTATAATAAAAACTGCTGAAGAAATCTGTGCTTGTACTGCCGTCTGTGCTGCTGAATAAATATAGCCCAAGTACAGAAACCATCTGAGGACTGGGGGAGAAAGCCTTCTTTTTGCTTTGAGTGTGAGGTGACCTTCTTAAATTGGAGAATGAGCTCATGAATAGGGAAGATGCAGCCAGCTTCTATTCCTATTCAAAATGAATGATGCCCTTCTATTAAATTCACGGGCTAAATCAATCACTTTGAGTTCAAGTCACATAGTGTGGTTTCAGAGTCCCCACTTAATCTCTGCAGCAGGCTACCCTCGTGGACTTCTCAAACAGCCCTCACACACAAGGCATCATCATATCCCTTTGGGTGGGCTTTTGCCTGAACCATCTGCTCCTGCTCTCAGATCTTGTCCCAGGCCGTCACTGCAGTAATATTGTCTCTGACTATGAGAAAACCTGATAAAAATAGACTGCTTAAATGCAGAACACTGGTGTAGGGAAAAAGAAAGCAAAGAATTGGTGAAAAAAATCAAGCTGTTAACAAATGTTTAATTTAACATTATTTTAAGGCACTAAATTAAAATTGGCTTTAGCATATGGTTTTGCTATGTATTCTAAGGTATAGAAGAGGCAACTTCAAGGTTTATAATGTTTAATGTTTACACAATGTGGGATGATTTATTTAAAAAGTTACTACAAAATTACATTTTTAAAAAATTGCATGTGGCACCTTAGAAAGGGGCTATGCATACAGCTTTAGGCTAAAACTGCCTCTATACTTAGAGGTAGATTCAGGCTTCAAACCCTGGTTCCACTCAATAGCATTTTTCAAACCTAAAATGAAAGATTGAATTTTTATATTAGATATTTCACATTAATAAGGGTTTTTTTTTCCAAAAAACAGGAGCATTCTGTAATCAAGGCTGATTACAAAATAATTGCCAAATCTTTAGAGGAACTTTATACACGTAGGGATTCTTGGGTTCCCAAGGACCCAAGACCATTTGGTTCAAGCAAGGCCCCAGGCCTGAGACTTGGGAAAAGGTTCCTCGGGGAATATCCCTAACTTAGAATTGTTCCTCTCTGATTGAGAAGCCACAGTGCAGCCTCAGGAAGGCCTGAATGTCTCCTTGAAATTCATCAGGCAGATAGTGCCCCCCTGGATCATGGGGGATGGCCATGGAGGTTCCAGAGTTTAAGTTCAAAATCAAATGGAGTGGGTGAGAGTTTTGGAGCAGAGGGTTCCACCCATGAAAAGCTTAAAGCCAGTCTGTCCAACGCAGTTTCCGGCTGTGCCCCCCACACTCAAGTCTGGACTGACACTCTCGGGCAGGTGGCAGCAGACTTGGAAGCCGCAGCAAGTCGGCGTCTTCCTCCTCTTCCTCACTGTTTCTGCTTTTCTTTGTTTTCTTGTCTTCAGTTGGAGATTCTGCTGAGGCTGCTCTGTAGTAGCAGCCAGTCCTCTGTGAAGAGCCTCTCACTTTATTTGTTTTGTTTTTAATAATTTTATTGAGAAACAAATAGCAATGAGATAGTTTCAAAACCAATTAATAGCACAGTTTCAATAATTAATGTATTGCACATTGTTGTCTTAGTGGTTATTCATAGTACAAGATGCAAACATGATATCCTGTCCACAAACACTATTAGAACAAATCTTTCTGTTCATTGAATTGAGACAAAGTAACTGTATATCTACCCTAACTATTTTGTATATATAGATACAAAATGGTCCTTCATTTGTATCCCCTTTTTTTGCTTAGTTTTGTCAGAGATGGGTATTCCATTGTCATTTAAATGTTGTAGTCATTTGAATTCAAAAAATATTCCAATTACTATTCCAATTCCTACCCTTATTGTCCAGTAGTCCATAATAGTAGAGGGTTTTCCGTAGGACTGGCAATGTCAGAAGTTGTTCACTTGAGAGCCTCTCACTTTATGTTACTCCATAAGACAATTGTTTCCAGGGGAGAAAACCTCCATAAAACTTTCAAAATACTGCACTGTTGGGGCCGGGGAGATGGCTCAGTGGAATAAGCACTTGCCTGGTGAGCGCAGGGGCATGAGTTCAATCCCCGGTTCCCCAATATATATTGCACTGTTAGGTATTTTAGTATCCTCCGTAACTAAGACCATGCAAATCTCCGTGTGAATGGAAGAAGTTAACATGTATACCATTTTCTCCACAGATTCTTTTTTTAAGAGAGGCTTTACTGCCTTCTTTGATAAGAAAATAGAGTCTCAACCCTGGTGTGGTTACACATAAAGCCCTGTGTCCACCAGTGAGTGTGTCAAAATCACTTGGAGAGCTTGTTAAAAGAACAAAAACAAAACCAAAAATCCTTCAGCTGCACAACCAGGTTCTGGTGCCTGAGGTGTGGGGCAGATCCTGAAATCCACTGTTCTCTCACATTCCAAGGGTCAAGGACCTTTCCTTGAGAAACACTGGGCCCGAGAAACATTTTCTATGGGCAGGATTCCTCTTATCTCAGCTTTCATTATTTTTACATTCAACTGTTAAAATCAAAAGCCAACATGCACAATGCATGTGTAAGGGAAATGGGGTGGCCAGTGAGAAAGGCACATGATAGAGCCCATCCAGGAGCTGGGAAGTCCAGAACAGGGTCCAACATAGAAGGTCTCGAGGCAGAGCATGTATGCAGAATCGTGCTGGTCTGGGTGGCCATGGAAGAAGCCAGGGCCAGGGAGCAGAAGGGGGCCTGCAGAGCCTAGATTGCTTCCTCTGTTCCTTTCTCTGCTTGTGTGTATTCTCTGCATGAGAAGAGCGTAGGCCAAGACATGTAAGGGTCTCCCAGAGCCTGAGCTGTCTCCAGCCCACCTGCAGACACTGTAGTCCTAGGGCTGGAGAAGACAGTGCATCTCGAACCAGTGGAGCATAAAGCCTTCGTGCCGGGCCTCTAGCTGTGCACCGAGTGGTGGTATGGCCCTTGGGAGTTCCTTAACATCCCAGACATCCCAGAGGCTCAATTGTTGTCTGCTAAGTGGAGACAGTAATGGTACTCCTCATGCCCCAGGACCGTGGTGAGAATTAATAACTATGCACAAGGCGCTTAGAGCGCTGCGGGCTGTGTGGTAAGCAGTCCATAAAATTTCACGTTGTTTTTTACTGGACGCTTTTCATTTCATTCATCCAGAGTTTGTGTTTCCTGTCTAATTCCAAAACGTTGCAGAGGGCAGAGACAGAGAGCGCTTGCTTACCATTTATCCCAGTTCTGAGTTCTCTGCCATCACCTCCTGTCTGGAGTCCTCAGGCGCAAGAAAGCCGAGAATGGAAAAATGCTCTCCCCCAGTGAATGACGGTGTGCGTAGCCAGTTACACAACATGGATGTGTTCCCATTGACATTTTAAAAACATTTCAGATTGGAGTATTTTTTAATCCTGTTTCCAAGCTGGCTTTATTTATGTATATCAGAATTAGCTGAAATGGGTGCATCTGTTTAGCTGGTCTGGATCAGATGGTTTGCCGCAGTGTGTATGAGCTTTCATTTTTAGAAGCTGGCTACAGCTTATAAAAATAGATCATCTCTATCTAAAGGTGTGTTAA